GTCCAAAACAGACAAATCATTTTTCATATTAGCATTTTGTATCTCCAATCAATATATATGTCCTAGGAAAAAAACATGTTCTAGTGGTTTAGGCCACAGGGTTTCCCTCGACCAGTGTAATGTCGGCAACATGACTGCAATATTACCCAGAATCCTCTAGAATATCCCAGCTGTATGAAGACACGGTCATCATTCATTTTCAAAATACACAGTAATAATATGACCAACTCGAAGTTTACTCACCTGTAAGGCATCACCAAATGACAGTTTGTGAATAAAATGGCTCATGTCTGGATTTTCTGGCTGAGCAGTGGCACTGTGTGTAGATATGTGGAAATTACCGGGCACCTAAAGAAGGGAACCAAGTTGAATATTTATACATATATTGAATCGGCATCTGTGCTCACAATTTTCACCATAGTACTAAAAAATGTTCTTTAAGACAAAGGCACTGCTACAACCTGGTCCTGTATCACATAATTCAGAATTGTAATAAAGGAACAACAATGCCAGCCAAAAGCACACATGCTGTACTCCGTGTGCTAACCCCATATCCTTAGAGCTCTACATATCGATAACCCCGTGGGACGTCACCTAAAGGACCACCCCAAATCCCTAAAGCACTTTATCTTGCCGAAATGCTTTATGTTTGAAGATTGTGCCTTCTTTTTTCATTTAAAAAATTTACAATTTCAGCTTGTTACACCCCTTGGCTGTCAATTAGGCAACCAGTCCTGTTACTGTTACACTGGAAATTGTGAACAAATGCTGATTTTGAGTTTCCTGGTTGTTGTTTTTTTCCCTAACAGGTTTTCACTGTGAAGGGCAGATTCTGACCTTGGCAATCTAGTTTCCATGGTAAACCGCATAATACCTACTCAACTGTGATATTCCACAATCAAACAGCGTGACTTTTCAACAGATTCTTTCAACCACAACTCAAATAAATAGATTTAAACAGAAATTCTACCATGCTAAATAGTAAAATCATCTATTCATTATTGATATTGGCTTATTGGAACCACCCAGTTGTACAGTGCCAGATTAACAAAGGGCCTAATGGATCTACAGACCCATACCCAGGGCCGGTGCGTCCATAAGGCAGCACAAGCGGACAGGGGATGGGGGAAGAACACTATGGGACAGGGGTTGGGGGGGGAGAAAGAACAATATGAGACAGGGGGGAAGAAAGAACACAATGGGACAGGTCGGGCGGGGTGAAAGAACACAATGGGACAGCGGAGGGGGTGAAAGAACACAATGGGACAGGGAGGCAGAAAGAACACAATGGGACAGGGGAGGGGGGGTGAAAGAAAAAAATGGGACAGGGAGGCAGAAATAACACAGTGGGACGGGGGGGGAGCGGAGAAAGAACACAATGGGACAGGGGAGGGAGCGGAGAAAGAACACAATGGGACAGGGGAGGGGGGCGAAAGAACACAATGGGACAGGGGAAGAACACAATGGGACAGGGGAAGAACACAATGGGACAGGGGAAGAACACAATGGGACAGGGGAAGAACACAATGGGACAGGGGAAGAACACATTGGGACAGGGGAAGAACACATTGGGACAGTGGAAGAACACAATGGGACAGGAGAGGGGCGAAAACACTATGGGACAGGGGAGGGACAAAAGAACACTATGGGACAGAGTGGGGACACTATGGGGGGAGAGAGAGAAACGTCAAGGGGAGGAGCACTAAGATACAGGGGAAAGGAAAAGGAACACGGGTGGGGGGACCACTAAAAGAGAAGGGAGAGGAACTTAAAAGGGGGGGGTAGGAGCATTAGGTGGGGCACAAAGAGACAGGGGAGGGAGGGGAGAGGAACACTAAGGGACAGGCAACAGGACCACTAATGGACAGGAAGGGGAGGGGAGAGGACTATTTAGGGGCGGTGAGGGGAGATGACCACTAATGGACATGGAGGGAAGGAGAGAGGAACACTAAGGTACATGGAGGGGAGAATGACACACAGGGGACATGAGTGGGGAAAAAACACACACAGAGGGACATGAGGGGGGAGAAAAACACACAGATGGACCTGGGGGTGGAAATAAAAAGGGGCTGAGGGTAAATGAGACACAGAGGGGCTGGACAAGAGGAACAAGAGACACAGAGGGGCTGGGGGAGATAGACGGGCTGATGGTGAATGAGAAACACACAAAGGAGCTGGAAAGAGTAAAAGACACAAATAGGCTGGGAGAAAAGGAGACACACAAAGGGGCTGGGGGGTAAGGCACACAAAAGGGGGGTTGTAAGAGATCCACAAGGGAGGTGTAAGACACACAATGGTGAAAATGGGGGATAAGATACACTAAAGGGGTAAGGCATTTAAAAAGGGGATAAGAAAAAAAAATCATCTTCGCCTGTGTACCCAAAAATCCTTGCACCGACCCTGCCTGTACCCATGGAATAGGCACATTGATCTAAACAAAACACATGCTCTTACTCTAAAACTTTGCTATCCTCCTGTCATTCTGTGGCTGCATAATAGGAACAGGATTCTGTAATCAGGTCAACTACAATCATCAGCAACAGGACCAAAAGGCTCTTATTCCTGTGCTGTACAGTGCTGCAAATTGTGTTGGCACTGAATAAAGACTAGTAATTGTTAAAAAAAAAAAAAAAAAGTGCTGTGGATAAGAACACTGTAAATACAGTTAGATGAACATTTACAATTGGCTTTTTTTGACCTACAATTACTACTTTACAAATAACCCTGATAGTATAGGAGAAATAACATACTTGTGATTTTTATTTAAAGGAACACTACAATGTCACAAATACAAACATATATTCCTGACACACTAGTTCTAAAATTTTGTATATGTGTCCAGCTCCCCTGGTCCCCTGTTAAAAAGGGATTTTCTCACCTTTTTCCAGCCCTGTGAAGGTCTCCATGCGGCTGGCTACACCCTCTTGGCTGAGATCAAACTTGATGATCTCAGCCAATCGAATGATTTCCCATAGGAAAGCATTGGGAAGCTATTGTGCATGCGCGGCAAAACGCTACTCTGCACCAATCAGCATCTTGTTAGAGCATGGAGACGCTGAATGTCAGTACTGCACACTTTGCAGCACTGACCAAGGAAGCACCTCTAGTGGCCGTCTGAGTGACTGCCACCAGAGGTTTTACTAGACAGAAATGAATAGGCAGTGTATACATTACAAAGTCTGCAGGGACTGACTATACTCACCAGAACAACTACATTAAAGGACCACTCTAGTCACCCAGACCACTTCAGCTTAATGAAGTGGTCTGGGTGCCTGGTCCAGCTAGGGCTAACCCATTTTTTCATAAACATAGCAGTTTCAGAGAAACTTCTATGTTTATGAATGGGTTAAGCCTTCCCCCTAATCCTCTAGCGGCTGTCTCATTGACAGCCACTAGAGGCGCTTGCGTGCTTCTCACTGTGATTTTCACAGTGAGAGCACGCAAGCGTCCATAGGAAAGCATTATGAATGCTTTCCTATGTGACCGGCTGAATGCGCGCGCAGCTCTTGCCGCGCGTGTGCATTCAGCCGCATTGGGAGGAGAAGAGGAGGATCGGAGGAGGAGAGCTCTCCGCCCAGCGCTGGAAAAAGGTAAGTTTAAACCCCTTTCCCCTTTCCAGAGCCGGGCGGGAGGGGGACCCTGAGGGTGGGGGCACCCTCAGGGCACTATAGTGGTCCTTTAAGTTCTAGTTGGTCTGGTGGCAATAGTGTCCCTTTAAGATACAACATTAAACAATTAAGGCAACATCAGTCCCAGAAGGGTGATTTACAAAATAAGTCTGTTTTAAGTACATTTAGGTTAAAATACAAAAATGTAAAAGGCCTTTCAAGTCATGTGGCATTGCCAAGTGATGCCTAATTTTGCTGCAGTTCTTCTGACAGCTTGACGTGGAAGAGCAAGTGTGTGGAGAGTGCATGTTTAACAGTACTCATGCTGGTTGCACTTATATGTTCAGGGAATTTAAAGCCCATACAAAAAAGTTAAAGCAGGACTTGCTGTCCTGATAGGTGTCCAGTCAGGCCCAGTCGGGCAGGGCCATCCACACCCTGATATCAGATCGGCCATTTTTTTTTTTAGGACATTTCCCTTTAATCTACACGTGATTAAACAGTTCATATGCTGCTTCATAAATCAGTAAAAAAAAAACATAATTAGTGCATCGAATTGTATAAACATTCCTAAAAGTTTTGATTTCAATTTGCCAAATCAATAACCTCACAAGAAAAGGAAAACAAAGTACCCATAAACATACATGATTTATTTATAATGCCACAAAAAGAATTAATTCAAAATTATTATTTTGCAAATACCAGGGACATACATATGGCTTCATTTGACAATTGACATAATATTTTAACAAGTAAAGAGCTCAGACATGATTACACACCTTGCACTATAAATAGATAATATTTTAGGTACTTTATAATGATTGTCTTGTTCTGCTGGTGCTCCATTAAGGAATAATTTGTGGTCCATTTACTATACTAAACAAACAATTATGCAATCTTTTATTTTAATTTTAAAAGCACGTTTCTATAGTAATGTTACAATTGCTGTAGTTAATTCTTTGCCCTGCCCATATTATGCCATAGGCCTTCATGTAGTCTAAATACATACATTCCATAGTATGGCACATTTCATTAACGGATAGTCGTTTATTTAACTCCACATCATCCCAGATGTATTTGTGCCAAGAATCTGAAGCAGCACAAGCATCTCACAGATTAAGAATTTGAATTCTAACAGAAAGATATGTACTATACATAAGAACATTACAATTTTCAGAGTATTAATTAGGCCAAGGAAAACTACAACCAGTTAAAGTATGTAAGTTAACCAAAAGGTGTCTCACTAACACCCAAAACCATACAAGGCCAAAAGGAGAATAGAATAAATAAATATATATAATGCCCAATGCAAATGTCTTGTTAGCCTTGCGGCTAACTGACATGTCAGGCGGCACTGGCGGGCGGCTGGCGATGGAGCACTTCCTCTGAGCTGTCTGCTCAGCTCCCTCGTGCGTCACCCGCAGAGTGAGGCTGGGAGCCGGAATATGACGTCATATTCCGGCTCCCAGTCTCACTCTGCGGGTGGCGCGCGAGGGAGCTGAGCAGACAGCTCAGAGGAAGTGCTCCAGCGCCACCAGACCGCCCAGCAGCCACTGGACCCCCAGGGCTGAACCCCCCACCCCCACCATTTAAAAAAAAAAAAAAAAAAAAGTGTTAATGGGAGTGTGTGTGTGTATGTCTGTTAGTGTGTGTCTGTTTGTGTGTGTGTGTCTGCTAGTGAGTGTGCGTTTGTTTGCTAGTGTATGCGTATCTGTCAGTGAATGTGTGTGTGTGTGTGTGTGTGTGTGTGTGTGTATTTAGAAGACGGGGTGGGGAGGGGGTGCCTGAGTTTTGTCCTACCTAGGGCAGCACAAAACCAGGATACACCACTGTGTGTGTGTGTATATATATATAAATAAAAACTCTTAGAAGATAAATAAATATAATTGAATACAATAAAACCTGGTGTATAAAAATATGCAAATAAACAAATATGATACAACTGTGTGTGTGTGTGTGTATATATATATATATATATACGTATTAAGGCCATTTGGCCTGTAATTGTGGGAGGTGCTTGTTATTCACCCCTAGCCTACTTAAGGGACACCCCTTACCTGGCTCCATACCGTTCAAGGTCAGCGTTGAATGAGGATCCATTTCCGGGTTCTCTCAGACGCCATCTTGGTTTTTCAGTATCCACAAGTTTTTACGTAAGTTAGACCTACCTGTCACGCCAGGATCGGTTCCCACGGCGTCCAGTACAGCACGGGTCCTCACTTTATGGTCTTTTCCCTGTTATGTTGCAAATTGGACAATCCGTTCATGGATTCATTTCGTGCAATATTCGGCAAATTCATTGTGTTAGTTAAGGGTTGTCATTTCGGCAAAATAAGAGATCCTTTCGGTTACTTAGCCTGTCGGCACTTGTTCATGATATGCTTAGCACGCTTGACTGTTTGAATAGGTTTCATACGTGTAAACTGTTCGTTTCAGTTCTGTTTTCCCTTGCCATAGGGTTCGGTAATTGTCTTGCTCATGTATTAGCATAAATCCTTTCGTGGATTACATACATCATGTCATGCCTATACCATTCGGTTAAACGATTTGGTTTTGTTACTGGATATAGACTAATTCTATTTACTGTTTAAAGGTATCAGGGTTGTATTGGTTTCCATAGCAAACCAGTTCACATATCTGTATGGATCATTTGACTCCCACGCTTTCAAGGGTTTTCCATACTGATCCATGTCAGTCACGTTTTTTCAGCCTACAGTTACAGGCCTCATTACTGTTTTAAACTATGACAAGAGATATATATGAGGATATGGTTTCCTTTTTCCAAGCAGGGAATTCTCGGGTTGAATCACACGTACTGATATAACCAATCATACGTCTCTGCATTACAGTACTATCATATACAACTTTACATCATCACTTTGGAGAAATTGTTTTCATCCCTTCCCCTTTGTTGTTAATTATATATCAGCATGGCTCATCTAAATATAAGCCGCACACCCATCATACATCCCCTCTGTTTCTAGCCAGAATCCTGGCATTAGAAGACACTGCATCACTTGGCCTTTGTAGTACTTTTATGTTGTCATGGCATTCATTAAACTTTCGTGCCATTTACCAGTTAAACTCCACAATCAAGTCCTTAAAACACCTCTGGTACGGGCTACACAATCTACACCATTCCCACACAGACCACACTCACTATATTACCTTTTTTACCCATTTCAGGCTGTCCAGGTTTATATATTTCACCATACGAATTTGCAGTGATATACTCACACAACCAGGTATGTATGCCTGCTCATATGGTATTCTTACATACATTTAATCCCCCCCTAGGTTAGAGTACTGGCAATAGAGTCACAGGCTCCCCAATAGGTATTTACTCCTTCTTGGCATTTGCCATCGGTTAGTGGTCCCGCGAGGCCAACACCCTGCATCAACGTTTGGAGGCAAGAACCCATCGGGCCACATGTGAGCTAGTCGCCTCGCATGTCGCATAAAGAGGGCCTCACCTGTCACTCCCTTCCCCTGTTTTCTGTGATACAGTCACCGAGAGGCCTACAATCCTGCCACTACGACGGGTGGCCTCGAATCCCCTCGCGCCAAAGCACAGAGCCTCTCAAGCCACTTGGCAAATAGCAGGGCCTCACCTGTCACCAAACAAGTTAATGTTTCGCCATCCGGCTTAGCTAGCCTGCCAGTTCATCCTTGGTTGTTTTCATACACTAATTGTTTTATTTTAGTATGTCTCAGGAAGGGGTAGAGGATTTCTCCCTGCCTAGTACCCCGGCTAGAGCAATTACTCCTACACAAGGAGGAGAGGTAACCAGTCCAGCATCAATCAGATCCTGGACGATCCCTTGTATAACTACTGAATTAAGCAACAGCCGACTTGCTATTAGTTGCTCCAGCCATCACCCAGGAGGACCAGAAAGTTAGCCCTGCTCATATGATCCCTGAGCACCTAAAAAGAGATATCCTGGAAGGTAAAGACGTCAACCTGGTTTCTCTGCTGATTGCCTCCCAGGATATCGTGGAAAATAAGACTTATTCATATGATGATGTGTCTGTTGTGGTCAGATCTAGGGACGCCCGCCTAAACAGGGAATTGACTATTCCCGAGTTTGTACTGTCTTTTGGTATTTACCGGGACGTTATCTGTGCGGAATATCCCAATAGACGGGAGGAGTTTGATCTTTATATAAACAAGCTGGTAGACCTGGGCAACAAATATGGTGGATCAGCCTTCTATGACTACCATAGGTCTTTTTCTGCAAAAGTGTCTGGGGCCTTCTCCCAGTATGGAACAAGATTAAACTGGGGTAGGATTGATACCGTCATATTTTGCAGACACTTTGCAGGTCTAAGAACACCGGCTTGTGCATACTGCTCCTCTACGGCGCATACGACAAATTTCTGTCCCAACATGGCGGACGAACATGCTTCCACGCAAGGAGCTAGTTCCTCTGGTGTGTCAGAAAAATTAACCAGAGACAAACTGGCCGATCAAGTTTCTGGGCAAGTCCCAGATATGTAATAATTTCAATCTCGGGTCTTGTAATTATAGTGGATGTAGATTATTGCATATCTGTTTAAAATGTTTTAAGGCACATGCCAAAACTATGTGTCCAAATAAAATGTACCCTAAGCTGTACCTAACGTCCATTAACATTTTGGTATTTACAACATTTCTGTTACATCACCCATCTAGACACTTGGTAAATTTTCTTATCTCTGGTTTAACAGAAGGCTTCCACACCGGTATTCTACACATACCATCCGGGATTCTGGAATCCGCACAGCACAACCCCATAGCTGTTGACACCCTCATAGCCCAGGAAGTTGCTGCAGGTTTCTTATTGGGGCCTTTCCAGTCTCCTCTGTTCAACGAATGGTGCACTAACCCCATTGGTATTGTCACAGGGAAATCTTCCCTTAAACAAAGACTCATTGACCTGTCTGCACCACACTCATCGGCTAACCCCAGTCTCAATTCCCTCATACCCTCCGAAGAATTCTCACTGCAATAAACTACCATAGATCACGCCATTACAGCTATCATACAGGCAGGGGTCGGAGCATGGCTTAGTAAGACAGATATTACTCACGCCTTTAAGCTGCTGCCAATTCACCCTACACTGTGGCACCTGCATGGCATCAAGTGGTCCGGGAACTACTACTTTTTCTCCCGATTAACTTTTGGGTCCAAAAGTAGCCTTGCTAATTTTGACACATTTGCCAAAGCATTGTGCTGGTTACTATTGAACATAGCCAGATGCCTTACTGTATTACATTACCTGGATGATTTCTTACTGGTCGAGGAGAACACTTCCCCTCCCAGTAGCCTCAAAGCTACCACCAAGCTATTCAAGCAGCTAGGTGTCCCAATCTCCCCAAAGAAAACTGAGGGGCCAGACATGATTATCACATTCCTGGGTATTCAATTAGACTCAACCATAATGCAAGCAAGCCTGCCACACGACAAGATAGGAAACATTCTTACCTACATCAACCACTACCTTCAGCTCGGTACTTGCAACCGCAAAGAGCTATAGTCCCTGCTGGGTTCTCTAAATTTTGCCATGCGTATCATACCTCAAGGCCGCTCCTTCATATCACGACTCTTGTATCTATTTCCACTCTTCCTACACGACACACACAGGTTGTCCTTAGACACAAGCTACGGCAGACTTACGCATGTGGAATACATTTTTAACCACTTGGAATGGTAAAAGTAGGTTCCTCCCTCAATTGACCGACGCAGTTCAGCACACCACAACTGACTTGCTCTTTTAGACCATCCTATGTTCATTATGGTATTTTACTCTGTACTATCATGAGCACCTAACACAAATATGTCTATATACATACACACACTATATATATTATATATATATATATAAAAAATAGATAACTGGAAAGTCCAACGCGTTTTGTGCCACTCCGGAGGACTTCTTCAGGGATTGTGAAATTATACAATCAACAGTACATCCATAACACAGAGGGTCACCACTGGAACCAGACATACCCCTGAAGAAGTTCCCTGGAGTGGGACGAAATGGTTTTGATTTGTTGGGCTTTCCAGTTCTTTATTGAATTCATTTTATTGACTTTTATGGATTTATGGTTTAATCCTTTTGCTGTGGTTATCCTGCATCTGTGGAATTGCCAACGGTTTCCTGGGATCCAATTGCTGTGGAGATATGCAGTTTTATCTTATGTGTTTATTTGTGTCTATTTATACACATTAGGTTGTGTTATATTCAATTATATTTATTTATCTTCTTCGAGTTAAAGTATTTTCTACTGACTCTACCTTGTTTATAGTGAAGCGTCCTTCAAACCGACAGCCATTGCCATTGTTTAGAGGAATTTTCATGGAATTATCAATATGACCAACTTCGTGTCTACCCATTTCATCCTGAATATCCAGTCCCACCACTGAGGAGACAAAAACATATATAACAAAATCAATAAAAGATCTACAGAGTGCAGAACAAACATTAGTATGAATTCTTGTGTTAACGGAATGAAAATGAAACTCAGC